TAATTAAAACTTGAGTCACCAATCCTTAATTTTGAAAATTTTTTATAACCCTTAATTCATTGTCCCTTTCAACTTTCCTATTTGATTGTCTCTTTTGTATTTTGTTTAATTTGGGTTTGGCCGTATGGGCTGATCCTATTTGTGTACTTATTTTATTTTTTCAATAAAGTGGCCCAATGGATCTTTAATTAAAAAAAAATAAAAATATACTCAGTAAAATTTTATAAATAAAATCTAGGGAAGATTCAATATACACAAATTTTATTACTATTTTGTGAGGTAGAGTGGCTTTCAAAAGACCTCTGGCTAAAAAACGTAGCAAATTTAGAATTAATTTTCGAAAACAAAGAAAAAGAAAATAATGCAAAGTCTACCAAAAGGGAGCAGCAACAACAATAATAAAATAATACGATTATAGGTACACAATAAACAACATATACTAGGATAGATTATTGAAAACATTGATGAATCTCAAAATCAAGAACTACAGTAATACAACTAATACAATAGCATATACAGTCACCCTAAGCAAGAGAATATTATACTACCTACTAACCTTTTATCCTAATATGTATCCTTCACACCCCTCTTATCTAAAATCATGTCCTCAATCGATAACTTGCGTCATATATTTTCTCATTTCTTTCTCATAGTAAGAAAATACGCACCCACTACACACCACACACTCAGATTTCTAGCGGGTCCTTCCCTAGGCCATGTGTAGGGAGCCCACAACCATTGTAGCTAGGCCCAACAAAATTTGCCTTTGGTCTATAAATTATTGAGATTTTTTTTACAATTCAAAATAAATGAATTATTTAAAGTTTAAAAAAATTGTTGGGACTTTTTTTTCATATTTATCCGTAATGTTATGAAGTTCTTAATTACTTTACATTATTGTCTAGTAAAACAATTTGAGAATAATATAATATATATCCTTAACTATTGTTCTTTATTAAATCTCAACAATTCACTTAATGTTGAATTAGACACATTTATGCTTTCCAACTACAGAAAGAGAAAACAAACCAAACCAAAAATAAATACATTACTAGCTGTCCTTATATGACCTTGGAGACACGTGGCATACAGAAAATTCCATATCATACAAACTTTATTTATATAGAATAATCTTCCAACAAATGAATAAATTGGATCTAAATTCATCTTCTACAATGGAGCAACAAAAGGATTCACAACCAAAGTGGGAAGCAAAAGTCTCAACAACATTACAAAAGGCAAGTTCAAACCAAATATTTTCTCTTTTCAAAGATTTTTTTGGCCTAAACAAATGGTTTCCTAGCTTGTCAACATGTTATGGCATCCACGGCGAAAATGGCGAGGTCGGTTGCATACGATATTGTACCGGATTCTCTCTCCCTCCGGAGAGTGGTGGTGTTGTCACCGGAGAAGCCCCGGTGAGCGGTTGGTCCAAGGAGAGGTTGGTGGCTATTAATCCAATTGAGAGGATATTAAGTTATGAAATGGTGGATTGTAACATTGGGTTTAAGTCATACTTTTCAACGGTCAAGATTGTTCCAAATGGAGTTGATGGTCAAGATGGATGTGTGATTGAGTGGTTTATCACCGTTGATCCAGTTTTAGGGATGAGATTGGAGGATTTGGTCAACAAGTATGATGTTGGGCTGCAAGGAATGGGTAAGAACATGGAAAATGCCCTAACAAGTTCATGAGTTATTTAATTTTGGGATTTCATGTTTTTTTTCCCTATGTCATATTAATGATATGAATTCTACTTAATAAATGCACTAATTAATACTTCCTATTTTTCTATTTACTTGTCAATTTTTGACTTGACACATCTATTAAGAAAATAATGGTTATTATAGTAAGTTTACTATTTTACCCCTATAATTGATAGAGTCTCAAACATATTTACTCACTGTATTTTTAAAAGACATTAACTCAATGTTAATAAATTGAGGGTATAATAGGAAAAAAATTGTTGTCTTTTCTCAATTTGTCAAAAATAACAAGTAAAAAGAGAAATTAAATTAAGAAATATTTGACAAATAAATAGGAATGTAGAGGGTTAAAAACTTAAATGTACAATTGAAGCACTTAAGTAACCCCTATATTAACACATTGATTTAAATAAAAATTCAAGTAATTAAAACAACAAAAAACCTTAAAACAATCAAAATCGAACTATATATTCTAACAATTAAACTCGAAAAAACTAATTAAAAATGGATGCATACTTCTTACACTCCACCTTCCATCATGCTAAATTAAAATTGATACATGCTTTCCGTCATTGATACGATTATCAAAGGGATAGAGAGTTTCATTTTGATTACAATACTTGTTTTGAGGTTATAAGAGAAAAACATTAATTAATTATTAAGACATTTGTGGAAGGTAAATAACAGAACGAGAGGAAATTAAGGAATGAAATCTTATTTAATATAGAAACTTGTGTTGTTGTATTCTAATTTACCGATTTATTTTTGATTTGGTTTGTTTTGTAAAATTCTATTGTTATGTAGGTGAAAAGTTAAACTATTGTTATCTAGGAGATATTTATGCGCTTAAATTGTATATTTAAATTATCAACCCATTTATCAATTGCATTACTTAAGGTATATGTCAAGTCAAACATGAACAACTAAAAACAGACAGGAGAGTTTTCCTTTTGCAATTCATTAAAAAAAAAGTTATTTTTGTTTTTTACTAAATTATTCATATTTATTTTTAATCCCAATGAGGTGCTATTATCTTTTCACCATACATTAATTAATATGTCTACTAAATAGAACCACAAGTAAAGTCGTCAATATGGGTTAACCCCATTGGACTGACCTTATCTAATCTATAATTTAATAAGGTTGAGCTGAGATTTTTGAAACCTATGTAAGAAAATGGTTTTTCAGCCCGATTTGAATAAATCTGTTGATTTGTGAGGCTTGAGCAATATGGGTAGGGTCAATTTGTGGCCAATAAAAAATAATTAAAAATAAAAATAAAACCAAGTATTAAAAATAACAAAATTCAAACTCAAAATTATTTAAATTTTTAAATACAAATTATGTTGTAAAATTAAGTTAATATTTCTGTTTAGGTATTTATATTTTTACTTGAAACCAAACTTAATAAATATTATAAAGATAATTTTATTTGTGCATTTGATTAACAAGTAGTAATTATTTGTGCATTTGATTAACAAGTAGTAATACTAACACCATATAATATTGTCTCATCGATATTTATGATAATATCTTTAAATTGTAATCTGATTTTAAAAAAATCTAAAAATATATTCTTTTAAAGATGAACTTTCCCAAATAGCCACTATAATAAACTTAATTATGCTTAACAGCTATAGTTTGCATATTTACAGGTTGTAGCTATAGTTTAAGTTGCCTCATTTGTATAATTCGTGAATTTGTATAATTCGCAGGTTTGTAAAATTCGCGGGTACATTTGTATAATTCAGTTATTTTTGTATAAACTTGAAATAATGAATTTATACAATTACAAACATCAGAAGTGTAAATAGTTATACAAAATATATTATACAAATTCCGAATTATACAAAATTTATACAAATTATATATACAAATTCCGAATTATACAAACGTGCAAATTATACAAAACTAAAAAGCTAAGCCGCGTAATTATAACTAAAAGTAGGTCGTGAATTGTAATTAAGACAAACTATAACTATGTTAAGTAATTAACTAGTATATGTTTGCTTATACGCGTAATTTTCCCAAAAAAATAGACTGACCCAACACTTTCTGCAGCCCACGTACTTGTGCATTGGACTGACCCTTTACACCATCTCCAACCCAACACCAAATCCTAAATTTAGTGTAAAATTTGGTGTTTTGAGCTCCAACCCACACCAATTTTTACACCAAATTTGGTGTTTGAATAGTGTTACACCAAAATTAGTGTAACACTATTCATCACACCAATTCACTTTTTGAATATTTTAATATTATTTTATTATACAAACTTTTAATTAAACATTATATAAATTGTATGTTTTAATTAAATCTCTTGTATATTTAATTATTTTTTATATAATATTTTTATAATATTAATTTTAGATATAAAAGTTAATTTTTTTATAAATTAATGTTTCTATATATGGCTTTTTTTTAAAATTAAGAAGTGCTACATGATGTATTAACTTCATGTATTATAATGCACAACATGATAATTGAGGATGAGCATGATCTTAATGCACCAATTCAAGATGCGTTGGAAGGTCCAACTCCGACCGTAGAAATGGAAATAGATAAAAATTATCAATTTCAACAATTTCTAGCTCGATATAAAAAAAAATAAAAGGAACAAAAGAAAGCTCATTTTGAACTACGTAATGCATTAATAGAGCATTTATGGGAGCACCGTAGTGATCTAGAAAGTTGAATATTTATGTAGAATTTAAAATAATTTTTTCAATTATGTAATGTTTATTTAATTGTATTTCATTAATGATTTCACTTTTATTTGTATTATCCATTATTATGTATAATGTATAATATTTGCTAGCAATTTATATTATTTTAAAAATTATGGTACAAAATAATTTTAAATTAAATGATTATAAAAGGAATTAATATGAATTATATATGGTGAACGTTTTAGAAAGAATTTGTTTTATGAAATAAGAAAATATAAAGGAAATAAGAAATAATAATATAATAGTGAAGAGAGAGAAAAATATTCTTTTTTGGTGTAAAATTTGGTGCAGTGGATTGGAGTTGATTACACCAAAAATAATACTGACACCAAATTGGGTGTTTGGGTTGGAGATGCCCTTAGTGGCCCATAAAAAAATGGATCAGTCCAACTTGACTCATCAAATTTCATAATTTGTATGAATTAACACAAATGAAGTAGGCCAACCCATATTGACACCTCTGGCCACACAAAAAGAGAAATTCAATAAGTCGCGCTAAATGGTAGTCATCATGCTCAATATAATTTGTCCTAGTAATAACACACGTCTAGAGCATTAAATACAACAAAGGATCTGCGATTCACTTTCTAGTTATTGCGCAACAACAACAAATGTCAGTGAGTAGGAGCACTAATAAAGTGAAAGTTCATATAATCAACTAATTGAATTAAGATGATATATGAGTTTACTATCGTAGAATGTTATGCATTAATTAAGTTCTTTTAACGACCACCTTTAAAATTTGAGTTACGTAAAAATAAAGTCTCGCTCCATATTTTTCTTTGATATGTAAATTTGGAACCCATAGTGATTATTTGATATGTTATCGATCATGTGACTTTAAGCACTATATACCATAAAAATTATCTATATGATACATTTATATTGGAAGAAAATTAGTCCTTATTAAAATATTTTTAAAATATATAAAGATTTTATTTTTGAAGACATTAGAATTTGATAGATTCATTCAGAAGGTCATCGAAATATCTTAATTATGAAAATTTTAAAATAGCAACTTGCACACAATTTTTATTTATTAATCTTTAAATGAGTAGTATAAATAGAATGACATTTATCTATAAATACATTAAATAAATCTTCTAAATCTATAAGCAAATATAATTTTTTTATTTAACAATCCTCTTATGTCTTTCTTTAACTCAATATTCCTTAACAATATGATATGATAAAAGCTTATTTAAAACATTTGTGAACGAACTGTCAAATATCATATAACATGCTTAGTGAAAATCTAAATCCGTGACAAATACCACACATTGTATTAGAGATAAAAAGTTAAGATGAGTACTCAAGAACTTTGTGCACCATTAGCCTCCCCTGGCCCCACCCCAAGAGAAAAAATAAAATAAAATTGAACGATGGGGTATTGTTTGGCTGTTTACAGCCCTCAAATGAGACAACTCAGACCAGACGTTATATTATAGTATAATTATTATAAAATAAGAGAATAAATTCTGCTGAAAAAAGGAATTTTTGGACAAAGTAGCTTTCAGATATATGCCCAATTGCCCACACCCTATTGGACCACTACCAACATGAGTAATTATGGTGTAATAGTATAACTGTTGTATTCTTAATTAGAAATTTTAAATTTAAATATTATGTATGGAGAGAATTTTATTGAAAGCGTCATTCTTGAATAGATTCATACAAAATTCAAATTTAATTGGGTTCCTAAATTTAGGTTTCTACCTTTTTATTTTTGTTGACTTGAATTTATAATTTTATTATTATTAAAATTTGTTATTTTTTATTTAAAAATATTTAGTAACTATTTTATAGATATTTTAATTAAATTAGTAAGAAAATAAAAATAACAATAGGTTATATGAAAAAATTAGAAAATTTTCGTTACTTTAGTAAAAATCTATTTCTCATCATGCATTTTTTCTTTGAGATGATTTTGTGAGAAATGAATAGAAAAATCAATGTGTGATAATATAAATTTTTTTATTGATTCTTGATGAAATAAACCTTTATTCCTAATGGTATATATTTAAAGGTGGAAATCGTTTTATCTAAATCCAAACATTATTTCAATTAAAGCAAAAATAAAAATAAAAAGGGAGCCCATAAAGCAAGTCTTAAATAATATTCTACTCCTAGTGTATTTGTGCCAGTTTTGATATTGATTACTTTAATACCTACTAGGTGAGGAATTTGTCTACCTATAATTAAATCTAAGAATTTCTTGTAGGGATTAATTTACCTTTTTAGTTTATTTATTTGACAATTTAAATTAATTGACTTAATAAATACATATACAAGAGAGTTAAATAAAATATAAGTTAAATTTATTTACTTTAGAAAGTGATATTTCACTTGAAATCTTGAAATTCAAAAACAAACTATGGTTAATTATTATAATATAGTAAAAATAGTTATCATGAATTATTTGATTGTCAGATATCATAATTCATAATATTGGCCTTCATTATTGACTTAGAACTAAATTGGACAGAAAGATTAATTGCCTTAATATATAAATATATACATATCCCTTAACCGTCCAGAAACAATGATTAAATGACTAATTACCGACATTTATGGGATCCTTTACTCTGGTTTTATCAGATTAAATAAATACTCCTTAGTTGTCCTAATCATTAAAAATAACAGGTCAGTATTGAATTGAGATAACGTGTTATATTGTATTGTTTTAATGAATATAACGTTTAATATTATATTATTTTTCGTTGTTATATAATGTCACACATCAATATTTTGAATGGTTAACCTATAAAAAGAAAGGTACAAGATAGAAATCCTATGAAAAGGTAGGATAGAGAATAAAATAAAATAGTTAAATAATAAATCTAAGACAATTAAAAGAAAATATTAAAGTAAAACCGTTACATAAAATAAGACTTGACATTATTAATATAACAGGTAACAACCATCCAAATAAGGCGTTACTAAATGTTTTTAGCGTGTCAAAAAAATATGAAAAGTAAAATGAACCGGAGGAAGTATCTAGGTGGTATGGTACTAATAAATGAGGACCCTTAATTTAATAGTCGATCTTGACTATATAATACTCCCTTTATTCCATATTAACTTAAGCTTTTAGCCCTTTTCCATTTTTTCAAATTAACTTAAGTTTTCAATCTTCAAGACTATTTTTAAAATATTTTTTCAATTTTACCCTTTAAGTTAGTATTGGAATTAGTTATTATAATTAATGTTTAGTTATTTTTGACAATAATTAATAAGGATAAAAATGAAAAATTATGTTCAATTTATGTCCTAACCTACTTTTCTTAAATGATGTGAAACAGCTCAAAGCTTAAGTTAATATGGAATGGAGGGAGTAGTACTAATAAATGAGGACCCTCCTATTTCTCTTTCATCTTTACATCTTTACCCATGTTCAAATATACTCTTATCATATCATATTCAATTTAATATAATCATCTCATAAATACATGATAAAAAATTATATTGCACTCGATAAATAGGCGATGCACCATCCTTACTCTTTTCATATAGAAAAAGTTGGTCCTTCACCTTATTCATTTCTCCCTCTATGGCAACTCAACAACTTGAGTCCAAATGGGAAGGCAAATCCATTGCAAATCTAAAACATCCAAAAGCAGAACAAGTATGGCCACTCCTTGAAGATTTCTTCAACTTCCACAATTGGCTACCAAACATAGACACGTGTCACCAAATGAATAGTGATAATAAAGATGAAATTATCCGCTATTGCGCTAGCAGTACCAAGTCCCCATCGTCATCAGACGATGGAGAAGCGATCGTCAAGTGGTGTCACGAGAAGTTGTTGACAGTCGATAAGATAGAGCGATATCTAAGCTATGAGGTCTTAGACAATAATATTGGGATCAAGTCTTATGTATCTACGTTGAAAGTATTGTCATCGGATGGTGATGATGAGAGCGGGTGCCAGATCGAATGGTCGTTCGTTGCTGATCCGATTGATGGGTTGACTTTGGAATTATTTTCGGGTTATATTGACTCATCCCTACAAGGCATGGCTGAAAATATTGAGAAAGCTTTAGAATCGTCTAAGTTAGGTGATTTTGCGAGTTCTAATTAGCAAGCCTGTTAAATATGATGTGTGATTGAAGGGATGAGATTGGAGGATTTGGTCAACAAGTCAGAAGTTCAGAAGTTTTTTATTTAGGAAGGAGAATGGAAAGGAGAAAATCGAACTCTTACCAATAAGGTGAGAGTTCTGTAGTTAGTAATTGAATTACTAAGATTCTCCATTCAAAAGTTTTTTTATTTCCTAGGTCATATGAATTCAACTTAATGAATTCACCAGACACAATTAATAGAAATCATGTAGCATTACATTTAAATTTTGGAGGACTTGCAGCTTTCAGATAATTTTATTTGCACTTTTTTTAATTTGATAAAAAATATTTATTTATATTAGTTACAAAGCATTGGAAATATTGGTAAAGCCAAATTTCTGCATTTTAATTAGTTAGTTTCTTGCTATTATTATTTCTAGAAACACTGAAAAAAGTCTATATTAAAATTTTAAAACAAAACTAACATGGAAAAAAATGACGGATCTTGATTAATGATTAAATTAAATAAGTTCATTAAAATAATAAGTGGATTGAGTACCATGTCACCATTAAAATCAATGGATAAGTCATCAAGACACAAGACTTTACCAGGCAAAATTGAACAAAAAAATCGTCATTAACAAAAGTCATGTTAATACAGCAAACCTTGAAGATCAATAATATCTCTTTTTGTTTTTAAAAAAAGAAAGAAGTTAATCTAGCCAGATGGTGGAATTTTTATGTAAAAATTACATAAATTATTTCATAGTGTTAAGAGCTAATTACATCCTAGCTCTATTCTTTAAATTACAAAAATCCCTTAAATTTATAGGACATCAAATACATCAAAAAACAAGTGGATTCATAGTTCACAGATTGCAAATAATATATTAATTAATGAAATGAATATATTCGAAAGAGAATAGAGATGTATCAAAGAAATTTTTTTGAAAAACTTTTTTAAATAAGATGTGTATTTATATAATATTTCATATCAAAAAGCAAGTGGCCCAAATGGCCAAGTCCAACAAGAAGCGACTAAATTGAGCTTGAGTTTCCTAGAGGCGATATGTATCTATTTTTGACCATAGAAGTAGGGGTGACAAATGGTTGGATTAGATCGGATTTGGATAGATTAAATATGGTTTGAGCAAAAATAGTTTGAATTACAATCCACCCATATAGAATATGGGTAAATATGGATTTGGTCAAATATGATTTGGATAAAATGGTTCTAATCCATTTTTAAAAAAATAAAAATTACCCCCTCCCCCGGGCAACCCCCACCTTCCACCAACTGACCCCTAAATTTTTTTGTTTTCCAAAAACAAATGTTTTTTTTTAAAAAAAAACATTTGTTTTTGGAAAACAAAAAAAATTAGGGTAGGTTGGTGGAGGGGCTCCCTGGGGGGTGGGGGGTGCCGGGGGACGGGAATTTTTTTTTTGTTTTGAAAAACCAGATTTTTTTTTGTTCACCAAAAACAAAAAAAAATCTGGTTTTTCAAAACAAAAAAAAAATTCCCGTCCCCCGGCACCCCCCACCCCCCAGGGAGCCCCTCCACCAACCTACCCTAATTTTTTTTGTTTTCCAAAAACAAAAAAAAATATGTTTTTTCAATTAAGTTTGAGTGGAAGTGAAAACTAAGTGATTTATTATGGGTCAATATGGATACTCATATTTAATCCATTTTGACCATATTTGTAGAGACTTTTAAAATTGCTTGAAGCCCATATTTAACCAATTAAAATAGAGCAACTTTCACATATAGCAAATACAAAATTCATATTTGTATACTATAGCAAAGTTTGCATAATTGCGTTCCATAGCAAACATATATATGTATAATTCGCTATACATATACAAAAAAAAACAGTTGTATAATCTGCTTTGGTATACATATACAAAAAGATCAATTGTATAAAGTGAGAGAGGCGAGATCTGGGAGAGTGAGTGAGCAAGATCTGGGAGAGTGGCGAGCGAGATCTGAGAGAGAGGAGAGAAGGGAACGAAAATATATGTATATATACAATTTTCACACATTTTATACATTTGCGTTTTTGTATAAAGTGAGAGAGGCGAGTGAGAGAGCGAGATATGGGAGAGTGGC